CACACACACACACACACACACACACACACACACACACACACACACACAGCTGGAAGTCCACCTGGGTCAGTCAGGAAACCAACAGAATCACAACAAGAGGAGAGACGAGGCGGCACAAACACAACATGGTTTTAGTGCCACTGAGCAAGGCAGGACTGTGGGTTCTGCCGCCCTCTGCCGGGTCGGGACCACATACACTGATCTGTGGGAGGGGACAGAGGTCAGGGTCGGAGGCGGGGCTTCAAAGACGCACCTGTGGCTGAAAGGCGGGCCGAGGCGTCAGTCTAGGAGGAGGGACAAACTGGGGGACTTTGATTGGCCGGGAGGACGTGGCGGCGGCCTGCACCTGAGACAAAACCACAGCACAAGGTGGGTCTGGGGACGGGCCGACCCGCCTGCAGCCGGACCTTTCATCACAACAACAGCTCAGAACCAGATTCTGGTTCTGAAAAGGTCCGACCCGCCGACTCTACAACAGCAGACAGGATCATTCAAAGCAACACCTCAGAAGCAGAACCCAGGAGGAACCTGTACGACCCCAGAGGAGAACCAGAACCCTGGTCCCTGAGAGGTGCTGTGGTCAGACCTGCAGCCTGACCTCTGGCCTCCAGCAGGAGCAGACACACAACAATCAGCAGATGGACACATCGCCACACAAACCGGTCAGCGGCGAGCGGCTTACCACCACGGCGTTCTTGGACACCAGGCGTATGGGCTCCGCGCTCTGATTGGTCAGCTTGCCGGCCACCTGCAGGTTGATGGGGGCGTTCTGCAGGTCGGGTTTGGCGATGGTCGTGGTCACCATGGCCACAGCGGCCGGACGCTGCGAGGACAGGATGGCGCCGGGGAGGGCGGGCGTGGCGGCAGCTTTAAGCACCAGAGGTAGAGTCTTGGTGGTGAGGACCGGCGTGACGGTCAGCGTCTGATCAGGAGACAAACGGGACAACACGCAGGCTGGACACTCTTTCTTTATAAACAAATACAAAGTTTTTTTTTTCAATGTTTATTCATTTTAATTTAAAAACAAACAAATTCACATAAAAAATACATACCAAATAAAAAATGAAAGGTAGCAGAAAGTTAATCTGTTAAACCAGGGGTGTCCAAACATTTAGTCACATGGACCAAAGTCATAAAGTCAGAAGGACCTGAGGGACAAAATATTTGTCCTTTACCTGCTCAAAAATAAACTGAGCATTGAATAATTTAATAAACAAATAAATGAGTTGGATTTATTGCTGGAAAAGGATGAATAGATGAGTAAATTAATCTAGATCCAGAACATTAGAAGTGTTTACAGGTTTCCTTTATTGAAAGAAATTTAGCAATTTTCTAGGTTTCAATTGGAGGAAAAAAATAACCCAATTTAATAAATTCTGATCAATAAAATCAGGATTTAGGTCACTGTTTTGTTGAAAATGCTTGTTGTGTTCAGACAAATTTAATAAATTAATTAAAAGCAGATTGGAGTCAGCTTTGGAGTAAAAGTCACCAGATAGATGAGGACAAAGCTACAAGCAGGGTTCATGCAGGTTTCAGTAAGTTACATTTAAGACCTTTTAAGACCATTAGGAATGACATTTACGACCAAATCGACACATTAACAGAAACATTCAAATGGTCCCAGAATTTTTATAATAGAAACCTTTTATTGCTATCAATTTAAGTTCAAGTTCAAGTTTATTTATACAGCTCCAAGTCACAACATACGTTGTCTCAGGACACTGTACATGAAAAGAACAATGTGAAGAAGAAAGCAGCAGATTGTGTTGAATCACTTCATCACAGTCTCCCATCCTGAGCAAACGGTGGAGAGGAAAAACTCCCTGCTAATCAGGAAGAAACCTCCAGCAGAACCAGGCTCAGGACAGGAGACCATCTGCCTCGACCGGCTGAAATTAAGAGTTTCCCTTCCTGGCTCCAGAATGGTACTGTTGAAGCAAAAATGAATCAATCAGTCAATCACACAGAAACACACAAAGTTGTTCAGGTTTATTTTGGCCAGTTAAAGGGTAGACGCTTGGTGC